AGTTTTAAATAGCTTAAAAGTCTCAGGCTTTTTATAGATAATTTCTTAAAATTCAGCTATTATAGCTAGATAATATATATACTATTAAATAGCCTAAAGAATCAGCTTTTAGATAGTATTAAAATTGTCTTCTATTATATTTTAAATACTGAGATATCTAGCTTTAAAATTAAGTTAATTTTAAAGTAAGTTAATTTTAAATTAATTTTTAATTTCTAATTATCAGGCTAATATTAATCTGACTAAAATAGTATAAATAGTATTAATAATACTGTTTTTTATATTATAAGAGGATATTTTTTCCTAATTTTAATAACTCTCTTTTTAACTTTAAAGCTATTATAATAAAAGAGGTATAATAAATTATATAGAATTAAATATCTATTTATATATTTAAAGAATATTAATAAAATTATAATTAATTTATTTAATATAAGTAAATATCTATTTAAAAGCTAGTATATATAAACTTTAAATTTAAGTTTTAAAAATTAAAAAAGCTTAATAAGTAGAATATTATTTAAAGTAGTATTATTTCTAGTATAATAACTAAATTTAGTTATTATTTTAAAGAATTTAAGAGTATAGAAAATAATAGCTATTTAGATCTTTTTAAAGTAGTTAAAAGGTATTTATAAAATTATTAATATTCTATATTTAAACTGGTAATTTTAAGAAATCTATTTAATATAGATATAAAAATATACCTTTTAAGCTAGAGATATCTATATATCTATTAATATATAAATATTCCTAATAACTTTCTAAATATTATTTTAAAGTATTTAATAATATTTTTTATAGTTAAATACCAGAATATAAATAAATATTCTTCTATTAAATTATATAAAATCTAAGATTTTTAAATTAATATATATATATAGCTTATATAATAAATAAGTATATATAATAAAAATCCGTTAATCTATATTATCTCTATTTAATTAATTAATTCTTAATTACCTAATATATTATAATTTAATAATATAATTAAAATTCTTCTTATTCTTTAAGCTTTTAAAATAACCTAAAATTAAAGCTTTAATATACTATAAAAATATATAATATTAGTTATATAAAGTTATAATACTAGTAATAAGATATTTAATCCCAATTTAATTAAATCCCTAAATTATATAAGCTCTTCAATTTAGAGAAAGAGATTCTTATTTATTTTATTCTTAATCTAAATTTATAAGAATTTCCCCTCTAGCTATATAATATTAAAAATATAGCTAATTAATTACTTACTAACTATAATATACTACTAGTTAGTATATATTAAGCTTTAAACCTTATTAGGTAATATTTAGATTTTAAGATATATTTCTTTTAGAAATATAATTATTAGAAAGTTAATATAAAAATTTAATTATTATTTAAAAGTAGTTTATACTTATAATAAATATAATTATAAAATATAATATCTAATTAAATAATATTTATAACTTTAATAAGACTGGCTTTTTATAGATATAATTATATATAAAATAGTTATTATAAGCTTAAAAAGATATAGAAAATAAAATTAATATAGCCTGGAAATTAGAAATAAATTATAATTATTTAGGTAATTAATATAAAAGCTAAGCAATCTAGCTATTTATTATTAATTCAAGCTAATATTATCTTATTAATTAATATTAAAAAAGTAATCTTTTAGGTAATTAGGTAATTATAATAACTTAAAATAGCTAAATTAATAATAAAATTAATTTTAAATAGTTAAAATACTTTAACTAGTATATAGCTAATTAATTAATTAATATCTATTATCTTTTAATTCTTAATAGCTATAAAAATTACCAGTTTATTAAATTTAAAAGATATTATAAAAAAAAAATTATTAGATTTTATATACTATCTTATTTATCTTATTTACTTTGCCTCTTAATATTAATTACTTTAAGCTACTTAAAAAAGCTTATAATTAAGAAATAAAATATTTAATTAGATATTTTATAATTTATATTTTTAAAATTAAGTTCTTTCTAGCTTTTTATATTATATTCCAGGCTACTATAATAAAAAGAAATATTAAAATAATCTTTAAAAAAGCTAGATTTATTTCTCTTAACTTAAAAAGTATAATCTTAAAGCTTAATATATAGCTATAAATTCTAATATCTATTAGAAAGAAGGCTAAACTCTCTACCTCTTAAGTTTTAAAAACTCTAAAAATTATACTTAAGGCTAGATTTTAATTAGAATATTTTAAAAGATAAATTAGAAGATATTAAAATAGCTTTTTAAAGTTAATTCTTAAAGTTTTATAATCTCTTATAAAAAAAATAAAAGCTATTATATATAAAATTACCTTATTAATAGCTAAGATAAAAGATCTTTAAAAGATAAATAAGATATTAAGTTAATATTAAAGAGCAAAAAAAATAAAATTATAAAAAAAAAGTTATAATAATAATAAAAAAAAAGATAAATAATTAATTAAATAAATATTAATATATAAATAATAGCTAAATTATTAAAAAGTAATAGTTAAGAAAATTAGTATAATTAAATATTTAATATTATAATATTTATAATAAGCCTAGCTATAATATAAGAATTTATTAAATAGTAATTAAGATATTTAAAAAAGAGTATAATAAGTAATTTTAATTAATTAAATAATTTATAGTATTTTTATTATATTTCTAGTTTTAGAAGTTGGGATTTTTATTATATATATTTATTTATTATATAAGCTATATTTAATTTTTTTATAATCTTACTTAATATTATTAAATAAATTAAAGCTATATAATAATCTTAAATAGTAAAAATAAATAATAAAAACTATATTTAATATTAAAAAAATAATAACTAGCTAAATAATAAAATTATTACTTATTAATTTCTACTTAAAGCTTTTATTTAACTTCTTTAACTTTAATTTTATTATTTATAATTAATAATCTTACTATTTATAATTAATAATCTTAAAATAATAATCTTATTTTAAATAAAAAAATATATAAAAAATTAATATTTTTTATTATTAAGAAATTAACTTTTCTTTTAATATTTATTTTTTATCTTATAATAACTAACTTTAAATATAGCAAATTTTATTTAAAAAATTCTTATTACTAATAACTTATTATATCTATATTATATAAATAATATTTAATATAATCTTAAATTTTCTTAAAATTTAAAAAATAAATTAAAAAAATAAAAGCTAAATTTCCTCTTAAATTTTTTTAAAAAAGAAAATCTATTTAAGTTATTATTATATTATTTATAATATCTAAATAAAAAATAATAAATTATATTAGCTATTTTTAAATATTATTTACTTTTTTATAATAAAAATAAAATTAATAAATAAAAAAATAAAAATTTTAATAGTAATTTTATTTTATATATTTAAATAAAAATAGCTATATTTTATAACTTAGCAAAAAATATTAATAATACCAATTTAAGAAGTCAAGTCTTCCTCTAGGATATCGCCGGAGCCCAATACAACTCCTAGTTCCAGGAGCTGTTATGTTGCGTTGGGTTGGTATGGATGCTAGCCACATAGGGTGCTGGAGAGGGGGGATTCGAATAACTTGGGTTATCATGGGCGTTGGGGATCTTGGGGTGTTAGGTCGGGTTGTGGGAGTTTTTAGTATATTCATCAAGGTTAGACTGGGTTGAAAAAGTTAGATAGGATTCTGGTAGAGAAGAAAAAAGCAGCTTGAAACTCAAAACTTAAGCCTTAATAACTGTAATGTATATGCAATGAAAATACAGTAAATTCAAATATTAGATTCCCTTATTGAGGGTTATATAAGCTATATATATATATTAATACAAAGAAGAAAGTTATAAAATTTTAGCTATTTAATAATATTAAAAAAAGGCTTCTTTTAATATAGAATACTAGTAATATCTAAAAATACTATAGCTAATTATAAGTTTTTTAAAGAATTAATTCTCTTAAAATTTTATTCTTTTAAAATAAAAATAAATTTATAAACTACTAATTAAATATTAATTTAAGCTTAGAAGAGGCTTACTAGTTTTTTATATCTAGCTATTTCTTTTCTAAAAATAGATAATTAAAATAAAGATAATTTCAAGCTTCTAATATATATATTATACTCTAATTCTTCTTAATATTCTAATAGGTAATATAGTAATATAGGTATTTATTTAATAACTTTGTACTTTAATTAAATCTCTTCTTTAATCTGAATTTGGACTCTGAACCTCTAGTATATTAAAAAAAGGTCTAATTAAAAGTTTCTTAGTAGGAATTAAAGTAATATTTAGAGGAGTACTAGAAGTAATGCTAGATACCAGCAAGAAAAGGTTTAGTATAGAGGGTATTATAGAAATAATAAGAGATAATAAATTCTATAAAAAAGATATAATTAGAAATTTATATAATAAAAATTAAGTATAAAATAATATCTTAGTATAGATACTGCTAGTAATAAGCAGGGAAGAAGATAAAAATTAAATTAATTTCTTATAAAAATTTCTAACTATATATATATATAAAGAAGTAAACTATTTAATATAATACTACGTAGACTGCAGATAGGCAGTAGCCGGGCTAGTATAGGCAGTAGCAGGTAGTAGCAGGCAGTAGCAGGCAGTATATTCGGTAGTATCTGAACTTATATAAGAGGTTACTACAATATATATTAAGCAGAATTGATAAAATTAGATAACTCTTTAAGGACTCCAGCATCTACAATCTTATAATCTTATTAACTAATAAGATCTAATTAACCAATCAGAAGCGGGTAGAGTGGGTAGAGCTCCCTCTACAATGCCCAAGTATGCTCACATCCCTGTCTGATAACAGTAACACCGGGATGGGAAGTCTTTAAAGATATGAATGATTGATTTGAAAGTAATCTTGAGGCATAGAGTAAAGCTAGGTGTATCCTTCTCATGCGACGATAGACTAGGAATGTAGTAAATATGAATGAGCTGCCACATCCACTGTTTCCGTAAGTCGACCATAATCCTAAGTCACATTCCAGCAATAAACCAGTTATCTAAAGCCACTTCTCCTTATTCTCCTCAACGAAAGCCTTCCAGGTAGTAGGCTTCTCGCTGACAAGACTCAAACTCTTCGCGAGGTCAGCCTTGGCGTAGTATCCTGGGTCTTCGAGGAGGAGCATGTTTTCAAGCATTTCTTGCGCAATGGGCGCCGGTAGGAACGACTTGAATACCTCTGAGGGGACCTTTACAGCAGCAGTAGGCTTTCCAATAACCTCGGAGAACTCGAATGCCATTTGAGTTGGTGTATAGTATGCTGTAGCAGCATAAATTCGCTGGTTGACATAGCTTGGGTACTTCTCGATGGCAGCCTTGACAAATTTACCTTTGTCTGTTAGCTTTTTGAAGTGTCACTTTTGATTGATGTAACTTACCAGTATCGCTAGCAGCGTCAAACAGTGGGACCTGTGAATTCTCTGAATCCACCGGGAGGGCCAGCGTATAGTTTCCATCTTGCCCCTTGTTAATCATGGTGAACATGTTAGACATGTAGAGGCCTGGCAGCACAAAGGTGGCGGGAACACCGCTATCGCGGATGTACTGCTCAATCCTGGACTTGCCAACGAAGTGAGTGATGTTTGGCAGGCGACCACCGCTAATTTCGGTCGTGTTGAGCAGGGAGGAGAAGATTAGGTGCTTAACGCCAGCGGCCTTGCTAGCGTCGGTGACGGCTTTGCCCTGGGCGACCTCGACATCCTCCGAGGTGCTCTCCCAGAAGTTGGTGATCAAGAAGACGGAATGGGCACCCTTGACGGCAGGAGCGGCTTGTTCGGCCGAGGACATATCAGCCTAGTCAAGACATTAGTCGATGTGTGAAGGTGGCAAGAGAGTAGCGAGACATACCGATACAAGTTCAACACCCTGAGCCTCAAGTTCCTTCGCGGCCGGCTTAGAGGTATCACGAGTAATGCCCCTGATCTTGAACTCCTTGGACAGAGCGGGGTCGTTGAGAATGGCCCGGATGACGGATCCACCCTGGACGCCGGTAGCGCCAAAAACGGTGATGAGCTTAGACATGGTTGTTTGGTTTTGTTTTGAAATAGTGGCGAATGGACTGGACAAATTGAATGCTTTGTGTGAGTGGAAGATGGGATTTAGAGTGATGAGCTTGTTGTGTGTTGTGTATATTCCAATGCGCAAATCAACGATCATGTTTTATAGTGTAGGTGGTCGCAACACTAGAGTTTCGAGATGGTGCGTTGATTTCATCAGAGTGTCGTAGATCGGGTCATCGGGGAATGCCAAGACGGCGAGGTACGCTAGTGTTCTGGATCTGGATCATCGGCTTTGAAGAGCCCACTTGTACCCTCGTTCAGTCGCTAACCTACGTCGACGCTAGCTTACAAATTAGATCCCACAGTCGGCGATTCGGGGAACGCCAAGACCGCCTACATCCGCGAGAGGCAAAGCTCCGTTGCTTGATGTCACTGCAGGTGGGGAATGGGGAATTGGCGAATGCCTCTGAAGCATCTCGGCTCTCGCGCCTCGCGTCGGCCTCGACTGAACTTTACCCTAGACCATAATACGGATACACTGCGGCCCAGTATCAGTCAGGCAAGGCAATCGGAAGTACGTAAAGGCAGAAAAATTAGACGTGTTCACAGTGGCAGCACTGACCTGGTCGTCGCATTCGGGCCGGTTGCAGGCAGACTTGAGAATGAATGCTCAGGCGGTATCGACATTGTCGGCATTGAAAACTACCCGGATGCGGTGAAGATCATTACCCAGCAGCGCTTCTCGGACACCGACAAAGACCGATGTATCAATGTGTCTCTCGTTACAATATGTTGAGGGTATCACTCAAAAAGCACATAGTCTCGGCCATGCTCAGTGGAGTCGCCATCATATTTCAAGTCCCGTTCAACACTGCACACGTATCCAGTGCTCATTAACCGGGCTATCAAGTCTTCAACTATTGCTTCCACAATACACCGACATTCGAGTGCCGCCACTTTTGGTCGCCATGGCAAAGCAGCTCCAGGACAACGTGTCCCGCGTCAAGCATTTCAATCTTCTTGGCACATCTATTTTTGTCGGACTTCGTGCCGCTGATGCCTTTCTCCAATATGGCCTTCTTCAACGAGGCTGGGCCCCCAGGTTGATAGAGCTACTTGGTGGGCGCGCAGTGGACCGTGGACGGATTGTCAATGCTGCAACCACCCAACTCCAGCCTTACTTCGGTGCAATCTCGTTGATGGCTTGTGGCAGCAGCCTCAAACAGATTCTGACCCTACTCATCGTCTCGGAGCAGGACATGCTGCCGTCATCAGCATTCCTCATCGCATTCTTCAATACCGTTTTCAACTCCCTGAATGCCGTATTCTCTGTCTGGACTGCCACCTCGCAAAGGCCAGCCTCGGAGACGCTGACCGGTATCGCCCAATCTCCATTGGTGCTGTTTGGTCTCGGATTTTACACGATAGGTCTCTTGACCGAGATGATTTCGGAACTGCAGCGCACATACTTCAAGAAGAACCCGGCCAATAAAGGCAAGCCTTACGCCAATGGACTATTCTCACTCGCAAGGCACATCAACTACGGTGGTTACACCATCTGGCGCGCTGCATACGCGTTTACTTCTGCAGGCTGGCCGTGGGGGCTTGCCGTCTTTTCGTTTTTCTTCTACGACTTCGTATCCCGAGGCGTTCCTGTCCTCGATACATATCTCTCAGAAAGAGTACGTCATCGAATCCTTACCCCTTCAGGTTCTAACTAACCGAAATATCAGTATGGTGAGCAATGGAAAGTTATTAAGAAACGCGTGCCATACCGTTTGATTCCGGGAATATACTAAAGGAAGAAAATGCATGTGCTGTAATGTCATAACTGCATGGGGTACGTTTATGCACTCTAGACCATGAGGTTGCAGCCGGGAGAAACCTCTGTTAGCGACACAGCGTCCACCGCTTTTATTCTATCGCAAGCTTGGAAATGAAAACAAGGTTGGCTGAAGACGCTGCATAGAAAATAAAATCCATTGCCATTGTTCCTTAGATTATTCAAATTACGTCGTTGTTATGCTGGCTACCTGATGGTCGGTTACTTGTGCAAACCGATCTCTCGTTTCCAAGCTACCGGTGTTGGCATCCACGAGTCCCAACATGTACCCTAACCGAAATTCTGCCCTTAAACATCAGTAAGAGGCAGCTCATTCTAGAACCTGCTAGCAAAATCCCGGACTTGAAATGATCCCTGATTAAGCTGAGATGATATGTAGTCAAATCATGATCTTATGGAAGCAAACATTTCATTACTTTGTCAAAAGTCCAGCTCTAATATCTTGAAAAGTCTTCGCGACAGATGGCCTCTGCTCGAGTCTGCTCAGCCAAGCAGCCACGTGTGGGAAATTATCCCCCAATTGGATTTTGTCCGCAAACACGCCGGGGGTGGTGGTGTCATACCAAGAGACAAAGGCAAGCTTGAACCATGGAATGAACGCAACATCCGCATAACTGAATTTTCCACCAACCAAGTATTCACGTCCATCCAGATATCGGTTCAGTACGTCGCAAACTCTGCGAACTTCCTTCAGATACCGTTCCTTCGCGCTATGAACCTCTTCAGAATGATACCTGTGGAACCACAGCGCTTGGCCAAAGTATGGCCCTTGTCCAGACATTTGGAAATGTAGGAACTGCTTGGCTTGGAAATAGTCGGAAGTGCCAGGTGCGAAACTAATTGTCTTCGCTTTGTCGTAGGTTTCAACCAGGTACTCGAGAATAGCGCCTGATTCCCAAAGAGTGATCCCTGTGTTGGGGTCCTCAATAGCCGGAACACGCCCATTGATGTTAATCTTCTCGTAGGGGGGCTGTTTCATTTCGGGGAATTGAATGAATTTGGTCTCGTATGGAACTTTTAGATCTTCGAGTACCACAGCCACCTTCCAAGGGTTAGGGCCGTGGACGTGGCTCCAGAAAACAAGAGGTTTTAATTGATCCATATCCAGCCGGTGGGAGTAGTTCGGTTGCTTCACGTATATCCGTCAAGGTAAGTAAGACTCAAGAGAGATCAATTGACAATACTGCAATGTGATCAATCGTCCTGAAGACCCGACATCATGACAGATATAAGGACAACCCTGTACGAAGAATTGAATGATGCTGATCACAAATGTCAAGCTTACGTCAACTCCTTTTCACCATGTTGCTTCCCCTCTAGACTTTGTTAGCTCTGTTGATCCACGGTCATGCGGCTAGCACGGCTTGGCCGAGAGCCGACACTCTTGTATCAAGCCATTGTTGGTGCATTCTGACCAATCAGAACGTCTACAGCTCGGGGTTTCGGTGAACGCCAAGACCGACCTGCAGCCTCAAAACTACCCCCATTCAGGCTCGCTGTTTCCTGAGGTTGTTGACTAGCAGCGAAGGCCGAGATTATGTGGGCCTTTGTGGTTTTTTGTGTCATTTTGCGATTATTGCATTGATACCTCCTCGTCTGTTTCCCCGTTGGGCTTGCACATACCGGAACAGGTCCACCCACGAGGGCCTATCGGACTCTGAGATACACCGATGCGCGAGGGATTACGAAGTGTTTTCCATTCATGGAATATTTCGGTCACCCAAGGTCGGTTATCGCAGCAATAACCATGCTATGCATTAGTGATAAAAGGGGGAAATAGGGTCGTTTCTAATGTCTTATACGCTTTCCATTGTCACCGTCTTTTGGTTATACAACTCTCGCATCCAAACATGACTCTTACCGTTGGCGTCGCTGGCATCACTGGCAAATTTGCCCGCAATGTTGTCACCAATTTGTTGAAAAATCCCACAGTTTCCGTCCGCGGCCTTTGCCGAGATCCGACGAAATTGCCCGCTTCGATTCGATCTTCACCCCGCGTTCACGTAACGAAGGGTGAATCCACCGACACCCACGCGCTGCACTCGTTCGCTAAAACATCAGATGTCGTCATCTGCTGCTACCTTGGCAATGACAGCCTCATGACAGAAGGGCAGAAGCTGTTGATCGATGCTTGTGAAGCGGAGGGTGTCCGTCGCTACCTCGCCAGCGACTTTAGCCTTGACTTCACCAAGCTCGAGTACGGTCAGCTTCCTGCCAAGGACCCGATGAAGCACATCAAGGAGTATCTGGGTACGAAGACAATCAAGGGTGTCCATGTCCTCATCGGCGTTTTCATGGAAACGTTTTGGAGTCGCTTCTTTGGAGCTTGGAATCCGGACTCGGCCACGTTTTCCTACTGGGGCTCCGGTGATGAAACCTGGGAGTCGACTACTTACGCCAACGCGTCTGAATTTGTGGCAGCAGTAGCTCTGGACGAGGGCGCTGTCGGGGTCCAGAAATGTAAGTCACCACGACAATGTGATGTCCTCAACAGAGTCTAATCCCTTGTAGTTCTTGGTGATAAGAAGAGCATTCGCCAAATTGCCGAAACTCTGGAGGCCGTTTACGGCAAGAAAGTCAGCTTGAACAATCTTGGAACTATGGACGACTTACACAAGACGATGCTTCAAAAGCGGAAGGCCGACCCGCGAAACGTCTTCAGCTACCTTCCACTGTAGGTGTTCTACTTTAGGGTAATAATATGACCTATAGCTAATGGAATACTTGCAGGTTCTATCAATACTACTGCACTAATGGGCAGACGTACTTGGAGGTAGACATTGACCACCCCCGGTATCCTGAGCTCAAACGAGTGACGTTTGAAGACTTTTTGAAGAAGCACCCCATTGAGGAATTGTCAGGCGCTTCACAAGCCGTTGCGTCGAATATCTAACCTGGTATCGAAAAGGATGGAAGGATCGTTGCAAGTTTACATAGAAATGAGGTGAAGGTTCACCTAAATGAGAAACAGTCCAACTTTCACAAGGGGTGTATCCCCATTTGCAAGACATTTTACGAATCTAGCATGGTTGAAGAGGGACACATTCGTGGGCTTAGTCATTTCTGAGTCCGAACACAGAAGCGACGGGCTGGGAGGGGTTAGTGTGGGATCGGTAGTCGGGGCTGGAGAGAGCCGAGATTGATACAGCGAACTCTGTACCTCCGTACTCCATAGCCCCTGTGACAGCCAAGTTAGTTCGTATGTGGGCTTGCCCGACACATCAATAAACGGGTAGTAGGCCACCCCCCCAGAGTGCCACGGTTGTCAATTGTGCTTTCTCACACCCATATCAAACCCATCTCACTCGAAGCCTAGCCGGCGTTTCTAGCATCGAGGGTGTATCTCAGGTAAGGATCCGGCTCTTCTTGGTGATCAATGGCTACGAGCACTCTCCTGAAGGCGTCAGGCCCCCTTCACTGCACAGCACGGCGCTTAACACGTTGGTTTCCCTCATCGCCGTCCCCATCTCGTGGATTCCGGCACTGAACAGAGACCCAGGTTCTCAAGGTGCCATCTTTCGATTGGCAAAACCCCCTACAGCACGTGTTGCAACCGTACCGTCTCACAGACAACACCCATCAAGTTCCGTAGCCTTCAGTTCGGCTACACAGGTTTGCAGCAAGATGGCTTCTCAGGGGCAGAAGAATTGGGGACTCCTCGAGCAGTACTTAACGCCGGCCCTTCTCCAGGGCCTTCGAGAGTTCTGGTACGAGCATCTTGAGAATGAGGAGGATTTTATCATGCCGACGGCGGATCATAGCCGGCGGTGGTACATGGGTGGGAAAGAACTCGACAATATGTGTTTGTAAGTGGAATTCTACTCCCACAGCCCAGGAATAGGACTGAATTGCTCACATTTGTATCCAGGGACCGTTTCGCCCCCGCGCTTGAAGCGATCCGCGAGTCTGGAGCCACGACGGGTGCTGACGTGCTGAGAGCCGCTCAACCACGCGAACCGCTTGATTGGCTGAGCCTTGTTATTCTGCTTGATCAGATCCCGCGGAATTGCTACCGAGGCGAGCAATCAAAGATTGTATTCAAGTTCTTTGACCCCATCGCACAGCAGGTGTCCTTGGAAGCCATCGAACAAGGCTTGCCGGATCAGAACCCTAGGATCCGGTGGAATTTCGCCTACCGCAGCTGGTTCTACATGCCTCTCATGCACTCAGAGTCACTTTCTGCCCACGACAAGGCAGTTGAGGAGTACATCCTGCTCGAGAAGGATGTATTATCGCTTGCCGAGGGACTGGTGTCGCCGGAAGCGGATGATTTAGAGAAGCGGGCGAGGGAGGTGATCCAGCGCAATGTGAAGGCGGCCAAGGGCATGGCAGAGACCAATGTGGCGTTCGAAAAGAAGCACCGTGATATTATCCAACAGTTTGGGCGATATCCGCACCGGAACAAAGCGATGGGCCGTGAGCCGACGACAGCTGAGACGGAGTATCTCGAGAATGGAGGCGAAACCTTTGGCGGATGAGTCTTGGTTCGCAAGTATAGGATCGTACTTGCGCAGTAAAAATTCAGTTAGCTTAATGTTGGATAGCGTACGGCACATTCAATCCAAGGGATAATCTTCAATAGAGTGTTATTTTTCAAGAAGCTCATTCTTTCCTTTATCTAGGATGCCCCCGGCCCCCTCTTTTCTATGAGGGGTTTTTCCTATCAACCTCGCCACCTATCATGTCAACCTCGCCACCTATAACTGTAATCAGGATATCAATCTATCAGAGGTTTCGTAATACAGGGTCACAATCCAACACTTAATATACATGATAAGCGAGCGGGTGGGCCAGACAAGCGAGCGGGCTACCTTGATTGATTGATTGATTGAAATTTACACTATCCTACTTAAGCTAAGCCTATAGTACATCTCTCGTCTACTAGTCTGGAAAAAAGCCCTAATAGGGAAAAGCCCTAATAGGGGAAAACCTCTACTCTCTATATCCGTGTCCGCTGCTCTCACAGCTTGCTTTCTCTTCGTATTGGGCTCGTCTATCGACTTCGCTTGCCTGGTCCAAGACTGACTACACTGGTAGTCAAAGTGCTCTAGGGCAATCCGTCCCTCCGCTTGGGTTGCTGAGGTCGCGCATGAGGCGCTTGGTTATCGGTATGTTCGCGGGTAGTTGAGTCTGTATGTGACCAGTGTGCGCTGGTCCCTCGGTGGAGCTAGCCTCCGTGTCGGTCTCGGGGTTCCGAGTTCGCAGGGTGCGGGGCCAGTGGCCCGGCGTCGCGCCCCAGAGTCTGTGTCGGTGTTCGATCGGTCCGCTTGGTGTGTTCCTCTTGCGATCGGGCTGTTGCCTGACTGCCTCCAGTCCGCGTGTTGTGTGCGCGGATCGGGGGTGAATTACTGTCGGTATTTGCTTTGCCTGAGGCCGGCAGCCCCGGCTGTCGCCTTCTTAAACCGTCCTTTCCTTCCTTTACGCTTCCTTTTCTTTCTTTCTTCTTTATCTCTTAAATCCAGCAGCCCCTGCCTAGTAAGTGCCCTGCCTTCTGCCCTTTGGCTCTTGTGCCTTTGATGCTGACTGTCTTAAAGCTTGTGTTTCTGTCGAATCTCCATCTCTTCTCTTTCGCCCTGCTAACGACTCTTTTGCGATATCTGCTACTACCTCCAACGACAAGCGGTCTGCCCACGAGTCAGATAACTTTGCCGACTTCTCTTCCGACGATGACGTAAGCATGGATGATGCTAGCGAGGCTGAGGGTGTGAACGGCCTCTAGTAGCTGGATTCCAGCTATCTAGTCCAGGATGCTATTTACATCAAAGATGAAGAAGAAAGAAAGAAGTTCCCAAATGCGCCTGAGCTGTGGAACGATTTCCCGTCCCTAGCGCGCACGAGCCTCGTACGTCTTGCGGCACAGCCGCAAGGATATGGGCCCTGACCCGTGGCAAGTTAATTTATCCTTTAAATAGCTATTATCTATATTATAGATTAGCTAATAAAATTAGCATATAATAGTATTAAATATATCTGTTACTTAAATAAGACTCTTATACTATATACTATAGGCTGATCTAAACCGACGATAGAGGGAGAATAAGGTGGTAGGAGAAAGGAACACCTAGAGCAGTATTGTAGTATGTATAATAAGTTGACTTAGTGTTAAGGGGGGGTCCCTGAGTTTGTTCAACGTGAGGGTCCCGTGTATTGTGTATCTAAAGCATGATCACCCTTTCCACCACAAGTATGCACTTGCTACGTCTCCAAAATTTCGACCCAGCGACTCAGCACCCCCACATTCACCAATACTTCCACAACTAGAGCACCCCTGCAACTTCTTCTGCCGAGTCGTAAGAAGTGTTGCATGCCACTTTGTCAATAGGTAGAAGAGGAGCACACACTCCAGCAGATGCTGCTGCTGTTATGCCCTTTGACAAGAAGGAAGACCCGACCGAGATTGCCAGGCATCTGCTTTGTAACCATCCATTCTTCGGATCCTAGTGCTGTAGGGAGGCATAGTGTGCTTTATCAATTTTTTTCCAGCCATAGTGGTTAGGTATCGTAGTTCTTTCTGGAGCCACGCAACAAGCTGCTTTGTTTGGGATTATTGGGTTACGTGCCGGTAGAGGGTGCAGAGGCACCACAGTCCTTGCCATCCCTCTAGACTTCCTTTCACACTGCCAACTGATAACAGATAAGACTAAACTACAAGAAAATTCGCGCGAAAGCCTCAGCTCGTGGCATGGCCACAAAAACCACGCAGCAAACCGACGTACTAGTGGAATTTCTCTCTTTCCCTCAGTCTTAGATATTCAATAACAAGACCATCCATTGGTATAATGACTCGCGTCCAGATCCTTACACAAGTGTGAAAATATTGCTATGGCCGCAGGCTGCCAGGATCCCGGGGATTCGGTATTATATTGATCGGGCCTTCGGAAACCTAGTGCTCGTAGCTAACGGCCTTACCAGCGCAAACCCCGATGTAATGCCGATCTAATCATATCTCGGGCCTAGAATGCTAGCCGAGATGGCCGAGACCTTGGCAAATTACAGAAAGCACCCGGTGATTTGGGTCCAATTTGGTTCTACCAGCAGAAGTCTAGGGAAATCCGGGGAAATCCGGGGAATCCGGGGAAGTCTATTCGGTATAATATCAGCTCTGTAAATCTATCCTAACCCTGTATAGATTAGATTCCACATGATAAACTCCCCGTTATTTGTATCCTTTGAACCCCCTTGGTATAAAAAATGGCTATGGAGCCGAGTTATCTTCCTTAATCAAGAACGAGCGGCCGATATACTCTCTTCTGTCGCATTTACCATCACCTCGCAATTCCACAGAATGGCTCTTGGGGTTCTCCAACCACGGAACAGTAATCAGCATGTACCTGGCACCGCTTTGCTTTCAACTGAGGATACCTCTCAAACCTCCGACCAAACTCTGAAACGAGCGGGTGGAAAGCATTGCGACGTGATTCTTATCCCCCAGCCGTCTGACGACCCCAATGACCCTCTTAACTGGCCAATTTGGCAACGCGATCTCATTCTTCTTCTCTATTGCTACTGCACTCTTTGCGTCATTGGAGGGTAAGAGAATCCCCTCCGTTCTACTATGCCGACAGGCCAGCTAAAGTCAGTCATATTACAGTGTCGGACCCGTCTTGTCTTCCATGGCAGTTGTCCTGATTGAGGATCTCCATATTGATTTTACCAAGGTTTCCTTGCTCACCGGCTACAATCTTTGCGCCGTCGGCGCCTGTGGCGTCTTCATCTCTGCCTTTGCTCGCAAATTTGGCAAACGACCTGTAGCCATCTTCTCCATTTCCTGCACCTTGGCCGGCTCCATATGGGGTGGCGCTGCGACGTCGTATGCTTCATTGCTAGGCGCCAGAATTCTTCAAGGAGTGGGCATTGCGCTATTTGAAAGTCTGTCTTTTGCCGTCATTGGTGATCTCTACTGCGTTCACCAGAGAGGTAGACGCATGGCCTTCTACGTTACATCACAATCCGGCCTTGGGAATATGCCTTCAATGGTTGCTGGAAAGGTCACCTATGATCTAGGATGGCGCTGGGTCTTCTGGATCCTTTGTGTCTTTCTCGCTATTGCCTGGGTATGCGTCATCCTATTCTGCTGGGAAACCCAATACAACCGAGCGGCTCTGTACAACACAGATCTTGCGTCTGAAGAGGTCAGTGGAAGTGCGAACTTCCTGGCCAAAGAATATTACTGATAAGAACAACTAGAACGTCGACATGACACAAGAGAAACCTACTACTGTCCAAGTGGAGAACCTCGACAGCAAGACAAGCCAACCTCTCGCAGCACCACTTTTGCAGTATCCAGCACGCCATTCCTTCGTACAGAGAATGAGGATCTACAGTGGAATTTACGCAGAAGAGTCTCTCCTGAAGATGATCATTTGACCCTTTTTGACCCTGTTCAACCCTGTTGTATTGTGGTCCCTCATCGTTGTCGGTTTCACTTCTCTCTGGGTCATTGGAATTTCGCTCGTCATAGCCCAAATCTTTTCCGCGCCACCATACAACCTGAACACGGCACAGCTTGGATACATCAATGCCGGACCCACCGTAGGCGGCTTCCTTGGCTGTATTCTCTGTGGGTTGGTGTCTGACCCGATAGTACAATGGATCTCGCGGAAGAATAATGGGGTGTTCGAGCCCGAATTCCGTCTTCCTCTCATGATCGGAATGCCCATTTCCTGCGGCATTGGGTACTTCCTCGTGGGCAATTTCATCAATTCAGGAGCCTCGCCGGTTGCCTCATCCGCAATGTGGGGAGTTGCTTTCGTATCAGTGCAGATTGCTCATGTCTCGGCTGGTAGCTACCTTATTGATGCTTTCCGAGACATCAGTAACGAGAGCTTTATCATTACGATGACCTTTAAGAACTTCTTGTGGTTCGGGTTCTCCTGTAAGTCCCCGCTTTGGTATGTTTCTATGGCCTAGATTACTGTTAACTGACTGCTACCTAGTCTTCCTTAATGACTGGATTGCTTCCTGGAAGCCCGAAAGGGTGTTTTACACGATAGGAGGAATGCAAATTGCTCTGTCGTTAACGACTATTCCTGTCTACATTTACGGCAAGAGGATGAGGGCTTGGTGGCATAAATACTCTCTGTTGAGCTATCTTTAATATTCCACGGGAGCGAATGACTAAAGAGCATTGAGATGCTAGGGTGCGGGAATGAACACAGGACGAACTTCGCGGTCAACATATTTGTGCTCTCCAGCAATGAACGTTGCATGTTATTTCGGAGTAGGATATTTGTTGGTCGATGGAATATATTCTAATCCTCCCGGTAACCTGACGAACTTGGAAAATCTACACGTTTCGCACCCATTGCGCAGTAGCCACGACGTAGCTACTCCTACAGCTAGAAAACTGACGCTTCCTGTCATTCGTTTCATGGATCTTTTGAGAACAATACGGGACTATGCCAAGTTTGTTTGAACTTACTCTGTCGCATCTGATGATAGGGGTGCATTGATGTATGTAGAAGCTCTTGATGTCTATCTAACAGAGGGCTGGAAGTAACTCTCTTATACACAGATGCTAGTCATCTAGGGGCTAGTTCCTTGTTATCTAGGGGCTAGAGAGTAAGGTCCTTGAGACTGTAGATCTGATGGTCTTGAGACCGGTTTCCTGGTGTTGAGGCCGACTAGCTAGGACTTCAGACGTCTCGGCTGTTCGAGATAGGTCTGACTATCTGATAGATGTCTGATGGATGCGGCATACTCCCATGAAACCACCACCAAGCACCCACCAATTCTAGGCGAGACTCACCATAACCTCGAGACCACTGGCACTGGGGGAACCAAGGCTCTTGATAGAAACTTTGCCTACCGTTAACAAAGACCTCGGACAGCGATGGAGGCCCATTCAAGAGATCAAATGTACTGAAAGAAAATGCTTGGAGTGTCTAGCGCTTTGTCAGTGTATTGAGATGACAGCGTCTCTGCAATTGTAGACGGTGCGGTCCCACAGAATGCCGGAAATATCCCACGTTTCTCCTAAAAGCGAAAACGCCGGAAGAGTAATACATTGGCGCTAACCCCGCCACCTGCATATCCCCGGGGGTCCAGCCAATTAGAGTAAAGCAAATCAAAGGTAATCTGCACATTCAGCCCCACCTATTTTCTATCCGACCCGGAGCATCCCATAATGCCGATGCCTTTCGCGTCGTGGTGGCTCAATTGACCAATTCCCACCTGAAAAGCTGTCGACCAAGAGACAGGTGCAGTCAATACTCCAAATTACCTTCAGGATGGGTCGTGAGCCCCTTGTTTTCCAACATTTGACAGTCTCTTAGCCGTCCTCGGCTTGGAAAGTGGCTGCGATAACCATCCAAAAACCCTCTCAGAATATCATCAACTTCGCTTGCGCCATGGACCTCATCCAGGCTCTCGGGGTTATCGCCAACAGCCTACTACAGCCAGCCAACGAAGGAGGCGCCGTGGTGATCACGTCATTCTCGCCGAAATTTTGGTCGACAGGTCTGGATGTTAACGAGCATCACAGAAATCCCGGTTCTCATGCAGAGGGGTTTTACCCCCTGGTCGCTAAAATCCTGAGCTACCCATTTCCAGTTGTGGCCATGATCACGGGCCATACTTTTGGTGGAGCGAGTCTAGTTGCTCTGGCTTGTGATTACCGTTTCATGAACAGCCGCAGGGGCTTCCTCTCTTTGCCTTCTATCAACCTGGGTGTGTATTTCCCAGGCATAGGGATGCTACCGAGGTTAAAGTTGCGGCCCCACATCGCGAGAAAGATGTTGATGGAAGGATTCAGATGGACGAGTAGGGAGGCCTTAGAAGATTGGATCGTGGACGAGATTGCGGAACCAGATGTAATGCTGGATCGGGCCATCGCAGTCGCACAAGAACATGCCCCCAAGGCCAGCGCCAATGTCTACGCGCTGTTGCGCTCAGAATTGTATGGGAAAGCATTCGATGCATTCGAACGCTTATCCCATATCCCCGAGCCGAGAACGGACCCAGCTGTAAAGGCAAATATTTAATTTCGTAGTAGATGTTAGCTCCTAAACCTGAAGCAACTTTCTGTCACATGTATCGCCCTATGATATCAGTTATTTGCCTTTTCCGGTCTCGAAGACCCGGATTCCTAGCGATCCGGTCTGAAGACTATCATTTCTCTTATCTCGAGGACCTCATCACAGCCCCCAGGATAGCAAGGGCATCTTTGTATATAGGAGCCGCTATAGGCCCACAGTTAGTTAGAAATTAAGACCTTCTTACACACATCAACTGCCCCTACCACATCCGATGCGACAATCTCCCTGGGAGGTACAGTACAGTGGAAACTTCATTTTGTCGCCCAACTCGGCGCGTAACATATATAAATGTTTATACACCACGAAAGGTACGAGGACAACAAAAAGCAATTAAATTTACTGTCACATACTGTAACAGAGATATAGTTATCCTAATTACATAGTCGAGAACATGAAGCATGTAACAAGCATGGATTTTGCAAAAGTGACAATACGCAACTAGTAATGTCGCCAATTTGCCTATGTTGCCATCAGATTTCAAGTATGCGCTTCTGACCAGTCCTGGTGCTAGATTGTGTTAGTGTATGTGCCGCAATGGGAGAAGGCATATGCTTACCGCGGCCATCTTTTCCTGAGTTTCTTCAAGCAACGTAGCGGGCTCGTCGTCCAACCAAACGTGACGAGTACGGTCGAGCCCGGCTTCTATATCCCAGCCCCTATCATTCAATATAACCACCACTTCTCCGTGATGCTTAGGATCCAAGGCAAGTTGCTGAATAATCTTCCCGCAGCCCCCTGGAGTGCTCAAAGGAGCCCCCACCTGCCGGACGTAATCCATGGCTGCCGCTACCATGGGGGTGTCGGTGGCTGTCGGGCAAACAACGTTGACCCGGATGCCGAAATTTTTGACACTGATTGGCTTGAATGAACGGAGTAAACCAATAATGCCCGCTTTACTCGAAGCATATGCGTACAAACCGGGCGCTTCCATGAAACCATTTGCGGAAGAGATCAGTGTGAGTGACTTTCGAGCTTCAGAGCTTGAATCGTCGTTTTGAGTGTGCCCCTCCTTCATGTACGCGACGGCGATGAGCGAGAAATATAGGCAGCCTTTCAAGTTGATATCAAGGACGTCTGCCAAGGGTTGGGGATCCTGACATGTCTCTCAGTACATTACCATCCTAGTCAACCGGAGGGATAGTCACCTTTTTAACGGTTTCTAGATTCAGAGTGCTGGTAGTCATCCAGCCCCGAGGGTCAACCACACCAGCCGTATAGATGGCGTGATCGATAAGATGGTGCTTCTTGTATGCTGTCTCGAAAACGGCAAGCTGTGCGTGATAGTCGCGTACATCCACTTGCGAGAACGTGACAGAGCCCTGAGCGGATGCTGATCGAAACTTCAAGCTTTCCGCAAGTTTAGTGCCTCCCGCCTTGTTCCAATCACTGAAGCAGACATGGGCGCCTTGGTCACAAAATAGAGAGACCAATGCCGCTCCGATGCCAGTCACGCCACCTACCAATCAGTGGCAACTGAGAATCTTTGTGTTGTAGAAGTGAGGATCACGATCCAATGCCTATAAATACTATATCAGACAACCTCGTGAACTGGCCCGACTGTGCCCTGAATCTTGTTGCTTTACTACTTTGACAGGCGTCACGACACGGCTGCCTCGAGTAGGTCTCGGCTTGAGCGGGGTTACGACCCTAGAACCTCCACCGCCACACATAATGCCGACGCCAACCTCAAAGAGTTTGTTTGGCCGGGCCCGTCTTTAGTGCTGGGCCGGGGACAGCGGACGAGCTGGCGTCCGAAACACCGAGTGCAGTGTCATTCGCTGTCTCGCATCACTTCCATAACTGATAACTGAGCTAACATCACCGATCCCACCAATACACCTTTCAGAGTTTTCTTCATTTGGTTGCATACCTTGTTTACTTCGAAACCTCAGAAACCATCATGGTTACCCGTCACGTTTCAGGGCTCGGGGAAGTGACCGGCTTCGAGCGGAGTGCCTTCCCACATGTCGAGCAGTACCGTGGCATACGGTATGGCATCGTCCCTGCCAGATTCCAAGCTGCTTCTTCGCTGGCCGGGTGAGAAGTGGGATGCAACCAAATATGGGTACAGTTTTCCTTGACCATTCAAGAGTTCAATTCTGAGAGATAGAGTATAGGCTGACTAACAGTATATCTCAGGCCATTGGCCCCTTTCCCGCGAATGGTCATTGGTATGGCCCTCACGCAGAAGTCGCTCACCCCCGAGCACCAATATGAGATGGACGAGTTCCAGTGCTTGAATTTGAATGTGACTTGCCCCAAGGGTCTAGCTCAAGCCGAAGGATTCCCCGTTGCGGTTTGGGTTCATGGGTATGGTGCCCCACATGCAGTGCTTTTGAAATTTTCTGCAAGCAATCAAAAAGTGTTGCGTAGGATTTCGTTCTAGAGCTGCAAGCTCCATCCTTCGATATTTCAGCCCTATTAGCCCAAGGGCCGGTGTTTGGCCAGGAGAGAGCATTCTAAATTAAGACGAGAGTATTTCTAAATCAAAGCGAAGAATGTTAGTAGCCTAAATGTGATAAAGCAATATAAAAATCTACATTCATAGAATATGCTTTATTAATGAGGTAGTATCAGCTAAATGTCAAGAATTAATGCTGCGACTCAAAAAGGTTATATGGAAATACCAAGGTGTTAAGTTTAAGGTGGTGCGTCCCCGCTAATTTGTGCTAAGTCAAGCCTAATATTCTGGTGCTGTTTCGGAATGCAAATCGACGATTCGGGCACTGGCAAGTAAGGGGCACACATGGCAGGAGGATCAACCAAGCCACTCAGCAATGAAGGTATTGGCAGTGCGGAAGAGCAAAATTATAGGGTCAAACTATTGTCATCGTCCAGGGCTGCAGGTCTCATCTTATTTTTAATAAGCCATTAAACCGTCTATATTTACAAAGATAAAGACGTACTAAGTGATAAGAGGTACTGGAACGGGAAACGACTGGCAAGGTTAATGCTTCACGTGGAAAGTGGCCATCAGCACGACATGCAGTCTATCCAGTGTAAAGAGCCGGAGGCTGCGGCAGGGGATGCACACGTAGTTGGACAGTCGTCCCCAAGGCTGCCACATCAGACGGCTTGTGAAGAAGCAAATGAGCCATCGAGAGAAGAACTCTCCGATCTGAGGCAGCCCTAACGGCGGGAGAAGAGAGACCGTCCTCCTAGCCGGGACGAGCGCTCGAGGAAATAGGTTCGAATTGGAATCGGAAGGCAGAGGAGACTGGAGATGTAGGCTGAAGACTTGTTGAGCGTGTCATGTATTTTAGAGGACGGCTTTGCTATAAAGGAGAGATTATCTAATGATTAAAGTTAGTACTCGCCAATGCTGCACAAGAGTAAACTATCGACTGTAAGAGACTTCTATAAGGCGTTTTATAATATGGGCACTTTACCGATACTGACCTACAGGCTGTATTACTGTACGTGCGCAGAAAAGAGTTAAGACGTGATATAGGACTAATAGATATTAAGCTGTATCGAGAAGGGCGGCTGCTTGCTATTTTTATATTAAAGATGCCTTTCTGTTAGAGGGACTATTTTGGGCCTTATAGTATTTCTTAAGGTATAGGGGACTGTTGCTAGCAGCTCAGTTTTACAGCTGCTTTAAATGTACGTATATATTTCCAGATAAGCTTAAGGGCCTTATACTGTTAAGGAGAAGCTTATTGCGCTGAATTTATGGTGTTGTCAAGCTCAGCAACCAAAGAACAGTCGAAATTGTTCCTGGCGTTGTCGGGGAGCGCTTCTACATGAGTGCTGGGAAGCCAAATCCGAACGTTCTTCTCTGGCTGGTCAGACTAAGAGAGAGCGGAGAACCATTCCAGGTGCGATTAGTTGATTTGATCCGGGTAATGCTCTCTATGGATCCGAACAAACGGCCGCGATCAGCACGAGTACTTGACATGCTTCGAGGCATATCAATCCGATATCTCCCAGGTTCTGTCGAGTTGGCCTTTGACAGCACATCACCGTCGACCCGTCAAACCGTCGACTACATTCTGGCTAAATTGCGACTGCAGAGTTGGCTCTTCGCTTTTAATCGTTTACTTGACGACGCAGAAAAGGGCGATTTGAGCAAGGTTGAATTTGAATTCAGCACCATCGCCGAGGCGCTGAAAGAGACGGATCGCATCGTGCAAGTCGATGCTAGCTACTAACAGTCACTTCTTCGGTATCAGCACACGAAAATGGTTAATACTATCCCCTCGTACTACCGTTCCATTACAAAGGAGCACCTTACAAACACGATTCTGGACTCGGACGTGCAGCATCTGGGCAATCTATCGGCGGCGCTTTCCAACGTTGGGGATGAGGATATAGGGGTCTTGATAGCGGTCAAGTATCTCACCAATCTTTCTGATGCAGGCCGTCTAACAGAGCAGCGTGGACTTGCCCTCGACCAGAAGAATGTGACACTGAAGGAAGATATCGGCATCCACAGCTTGGCATTGCTTGAGCCCTCATCAGAACACGTGGTCGTGGAGTGGCTGAGATACAAGGAATCGTGGGCTGACAAGGTGAACGGACCTGCCCTCCTTCGTAGACTCAATTCTATGGTGAGTCTGCTCCACGCAGAAAGCACCGCGAAGGTCCCGGGCAGCCTGCGTTGTGTGGGAATGTTCCATGATGAATCCCACCGAGCCTTTGGCATCGTGTATATCAGACAAGTGGATTGATTGAGACAGCTTTGGGGACGATGGATGATCTTGTCTTTTGGCCTAGGAGGAAGAAAGCTAGCTATTTATACCTAGGGATCTTGTAGAGCTGTATGATAAGGATGGCAAGTTGGCAGTCGAAGATACCAACGAGAAGTGGCGTTTAAAGCAATATCTACACTTCCAAATGTCTGGACAGGTGAGTCCTATAATGGATTTCTGCAACTATAGCGATCACTAATATCTTCTTAATCAGGGCCCATACTTTGGTCAAGCCGTGTGGTTCCATCGCTGTCCCGATGACATTCCGATCGGAAAACAGCGGTACCTTGAGCAAACCGTCCGAGTGTTTGAAGTGCTAGACAATATCCTCAAGGGGAAAGATTATCTTACAGGGAATAAATGGTTCGTTGAAGTCCACTCATCTACGATATTCAAATGTTAATAGTGCCTACAGCACGTATGCCGATCTATCCTTTGTCCCATGGAACAGAGTTGCCTTACTTGCTCCATTTTTCAGCAGCATTCTGTGGGATAAATACGACATTAAGCAAAAGTACCCTAACTTCTTGGCGTGGCATGAGCGATTAAACTCTCGACCTGCTGTAAAGAAAGTGTACGCAGAAGTTTAATATCAGCACAGATGGGCCCTACATTAGTCAATAGCAAGGTTTTTCGATTGAGTAAATCGTTAGGTATACATTCTCCATCAAATTTGAGTGCCTTCCATTCTTTCTATGAACGATGAAGAATTGAGTAAGAACAGGCAACAAAAGTACGCCGTGTGTCATCCTTCGAGCCATTCAGGTCGTTTTTTGATCTCCAAATGTAATTTGAAGTGCAATTGGTGGCTTTGATACTCAAAATTGCAGGAATATAGGCTTGGATATTAAATGGTGCGACTTCAGAAAGAGCCTGCAGACACAAGGCTCTCTGGTTGTCTTTTATAGTCTGGAATGCCTATCATGTGAGCCCCTCCCAGTTTACCCGTATTGCCATGTGGGAGAGCGTAGATTGTCAGGCAAAATAGAGATCCAGCTTGCAGAAAGATCTAGTCTGCATAGGCCCGATAGGAACCACAGTTAGGACCAACCTTAGAGCCCTAGGAACTGTGGTTGAGATCAACCTTAGATAAGGTATTCGAACCTAAGGGCGTGGATCCAATGCTATTGACGGCATCCCTGATCCATAACTATCCGGATCCTTAGGTATAAGAATCTGGCTGCTGCTCCTTCCAATAGATATAAATCAAGATCTTCCATCGTCCTCAACTGCATCCCATCTTCTGTCTGATTTAGATGAACATGGCGTACAATCTCGACGGCGCAAATACAGTTTACACGCTGTCGTGGCTCCGTCTATGTCTGGTCAGGGGCGAGATTGCGGGACGCGGATCGTGGGTCATGTCAAGTTTTGCCCTACTGTTGATAGTATATCAATGAGTGAGAAACCATAGAAGTTGTGCTGTGGCTTCGTATCCTTGAACTTGAATCTTTATAACATCGCTATGTGATTTCGAGTGGTAAACCTCAGTTGAGCGACATAGCGGAAATTTCCTCGTCTGCGGCCTGTGACATAAAGGTTTTTCGTATTCAACACCTTCGCACTGCGCTGCCGTTTTGCGGGCGAACGTAGCATCTACAACATCAAGTTTAATCTTGGGCATCCTTTGTGGAAAGGATAGTAAAGGGTTGGGGCAGCATTTGTGGTTATCACGCTGGGGACAATTGGGTTTCCAAGAGCTTGCTCTCTAAGCACTTCATCAACACATTTAGTGAGTAATTAAGAAAAACAGGTTATGAGCCCGGGCGGCTAAACTAAATTCAAAGCTGAGTCTCCTATCTAATCATCCGTCCCTTACTCACAAGGACCTCACAGTCTCTTCCACTGCACCGGAGACTCAACGGAGGCCTTCGACACTGCCAGGATCAGGACCCTCATCTGTCTGTTTCTGAACGAAGTACCCGCTACTTGATCATTTACTAAGTATCACAACGAGGGGTTGAGTTGCGGAAAAACTAACTGCGCCATGATTCCGTCAGCTTCTCGCTGTTTCCGTCAGCTCCTCGCTGTTTCCGTCGGCCTCTCGCTGCTTCTTCCTGCTTGCGGCTGCTATCTATGAAAAGGACGGGCTAGACCTCTTGTCTTACCTCTACTTTCATCGAAAACAGCGCAACATCAACACATCACACTACGTTCCTTCAGCATGTCAGAAGGCAAAGACTTGACCCTAAGCGGAAATCTTTCCGGAGTTGCCAAACTCGAATCCTCTGGAGGCTGGATCAACTGGAACGAGGAAATCCGAGACCTACTGGCCCTGTCTGGCTATGGCGATCTCCTAGAGAGAGAGCGGGGCCCACCGGTGCAAGGAAATCTCTCGGAAGTCGTCTTCGAAGAAAAGCTAGATGCTTGGCACCAGAGACAAGCTCGGGCGTGCGGAGCAGTTCGATATCGAATTGGTTTCCGTCCCAAACAGGAAGTCCAAGGTCTCAACAACTTAGCCAACATCCTCAAAACATTAGATCAACACTTCAACCAAGGGCAGCAGTGTATTCCACGACCTCCAGCAAAAGCTTGGTAGGCTTGCTCTGGACAACTGCGAAAATGTATCTGACTTCTCTCGGCAATTACGGAAGACCCGAGACCAAATCCTTCAACTAGACGAAACTAGTCAAATTGGAGAGCCACAACTGATGGATAAGTTCCTCAATGGACTTGGACCCATGTATCATGTGTTCCTCAGTGCATTTCTTCAGAGCCATAGCCTGCTACCTGAACGGAACCTCGAAGGCATCATCATTAAGGCAGCTACTACTATTGAAGAAGCTACTGGAGCCGCTGAGCATGAAGAACACAGCTAACGGATGCAGTAACAAGACCAAGACCAAGAGACAATCAAGCACGCTGCCATGGTCACTGCCATCAAGGAGCAAAATCTCACGACCTGCAGCATATATTTAATATATATTTTTAAGATTACAAAAGTAATTAAAGCAATTAATTACTAAAAATCTGCTTATAGTAATATTTACTCTTTAAATATCGATGTACTATATAAATTAAAAGTGCTTATAGAGCGTAAAATCCATAGATTGTGCGATTTTAGATTGTTGCGATCCAAGAATCGTGATCTAGTCCTAATAGAACAAAAAATGTGGATACTATGTTTACCGCGGGGGTTATGACATGGGGTCGTGACAGTCCTCTCAGGCGAAATAAATTCCATCCATCCAACCCAGTACCCCGCACAAAACCTGGAACTGCATTACCCTCATCCTTACTCGTAGAGCAACGCAGCAACTCCCCATCCTATTCCAACCACTTCTTCGATGCCACGGGAGAGTGTTTAAAACAAGAACTTATCAAGCCATGTCATCCAGCTCTTCAGCGAGGACGCTGGAACATCGTAGCATCAACAGAGCCTGCGAAGAGTGTAAACGGTAAGTTACTCGACCCTGATCTCGCGTAAGAGTTTTATGCCTCCCTCATATTAAGACTTTTGCTGCTTCTAGAAAAAAGCTAAGATGTGAGAGAGAGACAATGGATCGCGTCTGAAGAGCCGTGTTCCTAATACCGATATGTAGGCGACGGGGCGAGACCGCGATGCGCTCTCTGCACACGCAGCTCCCAGGATTGCTTCTATCCCCGTCGCAAACCTCGCGAGGAGAAGCGCCGCCGCATGACTGCGCCAAATGTACCATCTCAAGGGACAAGTAAGGGTAATGCTTCCCTGCTCACGGCGGTGCCTCGGGGCTTTGCTGAATTTTGGTGACTCGCAGACCAACCTCCGTCCCCAAACTTTTCTGCTCTGTTGCAGCCTCAGCAACAGAGCCCCGATTCAACCGTCTCGGGATGCTCGCAAATTGGTGAGTTAGATGTTCAACTCCATAATGGAGGAGCGACAACGAATCTCGGTCTGGCCAATCCACTATCCGCTGGTTGGGATGCACTAGATGCCGTCGCCAACGAGGGAGGGATGCAGAGTGTGTATAGTAGTCACGACATCTTCCAGTTTTTGACCGAGGCGTTGCCCGAGATCTGGCATAATGACGATGATGTCAACCAATCCGCTGTCCTGTCGCCATATCCAGCGTCGTCACCATACACTGGTAGTATGCTGCCGCCACTGGCGGATTCCTCTCGAGGGCGGAATGCTCCTGAGAGTGAAGATTTTGGTCATGCGCTCAGTCCGTTTGGAAATGGTCGAGCCTTCGGTACACTGCTGCAGGAGGAGGACAAGCGATACTCGTTGGACATCCCGGCAGCGGTTGCAGACGACGTGTGAGTGTTACCGAGCTACATTCACGTCACTTCACCAAGCTGACCGTTCACTGCAGGCTGTACTTGTTCTTCCTGCGGGTACAGCCGTTTCTGCCTCTGTTCCATCGACCACAGTTCTATCAGACATACATTGCGGTGCCTCGGAGCGCAAAGTACGTCGATTTAACAAAGCAGTCGACCTTTTTGCTTTACGCAATGATGGCCCTTTCGGCGCGTTACTCGACCTCTTCCTATTTTGCAGATGTGCATGTGAAGGACCGGGGAGCTGCGTTCATGCGGAAATTGGGGCGGCTGAATAACGACCTCATCACTATCGCCGACACGCAGGCACCATCGTTGCCCTTGCTCCAAGCCTACATACTTGTCGCGTACTATCATCGCTCATGTAATCCACCGAATGACGCCACGAAGCTAGTGGAGGTGTGTCTGCGACTCGCTGAGAAGCTTGACCTACACACAATCGACAAGGCCGTTTTCGATCAGCCGGTGGGAGAAGCGAATGAAACAACGGCGCAGCAATGGATTTCAATCGAGGAGAAACGCCGTGCTTGGTGGTCAATGTGGGAGTTGGATGCGTTCGAATCCATCTTGACCTGTCGTGCTTCGGGCATTGATCTAAGCCAGGTACACATTCGCCTACCCGTCCCGGACGAGGCATGGTTCGCCGGAAAGCCCGTGACATCTGCTCGATTTAACTTCGACCTCTCTCTATGTTGGAAGGTTCTCAAAGATGCCCCCAATCAAGATGAGTGGGCGTGGTGTCTTGTCAGCAATTACATTCTCGTACAGGCTTTCGCGATTACTCGACAGAACGCAGTGCACGAAAAGGCCATAGATGAACTGGAGATGGTCGTGGCCTGCTTCTCCCTCTTGTTCCACGAAAAGCTGCGATCCTCTATCAACAATCTCAAATTCGACAAGGATAACTATGTGGGGAGTAACTGGGCGGTTTTGGCACAGTTGATGATGCAATCGTGAGTACTCGCCTGCCAATTTGGGAAGAAGTCTATGTTGATTTACTGGTAGGACACGAATAATCGTCGGCCTACTGCATAGGCGAAGCGCATTGAAGATGGGCGCTGCTCGCTCCGAGGTCTTTGAAAACGGGACTGTCAAACCAGGCTGGGAGGAGCACATTGTCACTGATGCAAGCATCCAAAATTTCCAACAGCCCGTCGATGAGGTCTTGCGACTGTGTCGTTCATGGCCGCCCGAAGGCATTGTCTTCGCGCCGCCTACCTTCATATTTAGCGTTCTTGGACCAGAGATGATGAACTTCCAGGTAACTCGACTCCGAAGACTGGACTCGGAGAAGCCCGCAAACCGTGCCCAGCATTCATTGCAGGAGGAGCTACTGATTCTCGTGGTTACGCATTTCGCCCGATACTGGAATATCGGTGGTGTCATTTTGAATATATTGGCTTGACGAGCGGTTGGTCGGGTCTGTTGCCTGCGGCTTGAGTTGATGTACATTTAGATGGCGGGGTTCGAGTATGACAATTGTTGGATTGTGGCCCTGTATTACGAAACCTCTGATGGATCGATATCCTGACCTTAGTTAGAGGGGGGGTGAGCTGACATAAAACCCCTCTCGAGAAAAGAGGGGGCCGCAGAGATCCTAGATCAATACAATCATCATCCTTGGGCTCCACATCGTATTGAACACTTATCCCTTGATCGAATGTGCCGTACGCTATCCAACAACAATTATTGCTTAGGCAAATACATTTAACACATCCTCCTGATATCATACTAGTCATCGTCTAATCGTGGTACGGTGTTTTATGGTACGAGAAATCATGGTACCGCGTTTTACTCGTACCGTCATGGTAAGTAGGCTTACATCTGGGTCGACAAAAGAATTACCGTGCCCAGACTCTCTTATTCGTACGTTGATCGTGTATTGGGCTGCTGTCATTTTCTGCGCTTAATGCACGACTTATGCTTGGATACGGGGATATGCCTCGGCTCGGAAAACCCTCCGCACAGCGCGGGGAAGAATGAATTCCCCATGGGGATCTTTTAGCATTAGGCTCTTATTGGCATAGTGTGCATTCGTAGACTCCGTACCGAAGCGAGCGATGTTACCTACTGTATGCCCTTGCATCGTGGGCGGCGGGGCCTAGATTCCATTTGTCTTCGCGTTCGGGCTCTTCCTTTGGAATTGGGTCCGTACAGAAAAAAATAAAGTCCGCAAACGGGATTCAGCATATCACCGAATTCCCGAGCCTAGAAAATAGCGTAACGCAAACGTAGGCCACCCCGCAGACTCACTCGCATTGGGAGCGGGGATTGAAGCACGCATCACAGATAATATATCTTTGCAACAAGTTTCCAGTCGTTTGCATTGCAGCGGCATCTATCTCGCTTTTCCAACATTCGGGGTTCATACTTCGCGACAGTACTCAACATGCAAAAATCACGACAACATGGTTGCCACCCGAGGTGCTGTGCACGCCGTGTACGATGCTTTTGCATCAGTGGACTGGACTGTATCCAAGATCAGCAGCATCGTCTTGCTCCTGGTAGGTCTTGTAGTTGCTGAACCGTTGGCAAGTCTGTACTCAATCTTCATAGGTGGTATCCTACCCCTTGTCCATCATATTCTATAACATGTATCTTCACCCACTCAGAGGTTATCCTGGACCAAAGCTTTACGCTGCCGCAATCATCCCCATCTACTATCAACGACTTCGAGGTTTCGGCCCCCAGTTTACCACTGAGTTGCATAAGAAATATGGCCCAGTGGTTCGTATTGCACCCAACCAAATCAGTTACACCGACAACCAAGCTTGGAAAGAAATCTACGGCCATCACCCTGCCGGCAACGGAACATGGCGAAAGGATCCTGCTCAAGCTGGCCCGGAAGAGGCCGGAACTCCTGGCATCTTTAGATCAGAGGGCCAGGCACATAGTCAACTGAAAGGCCCTTCAACCATGCCTTCTCTGACGAGGCTCTTAAAGAACAAGAGGGCTTGATCTGTGGCTACGCTAAACAGCTCGTGTCCGTCCTCCAACATCGAGCGGAGCTGCAAAAAGCCGATCCGAACGACGCTGAAGGACAGGTCGGCATGGTTAAGATGTACAATTTTGCTACATTCGATGTTAGTCCTGCCTTGAAGTCCGGGGTCTTACCTACGCTAAATGTTGTTTTCAGATCATGGCAGATTTGGTTTTTGGCGAGGATCTAGGCCTATTAGAGTGAGTATAATGATCCTATCAAAATACATGATACAATGCCTAAGATCAAACCGTCTAGGAACATAACATACACACCGTGGGTCTATGCTATGATAGGCCATCTGAAATCGGTCTCCATCATGCACGCAATCGCAAGGTGGCAGCTTTTAACGGCAGTCATGAAGCGACTTCTGCCGAAATTTATCAAAGAGATGCGCGAGGCGCACTTCAACTTTTGTGTTCAAAGAGTCGATAAGCGAATGGCCACGAAAACCGAGCGGCCAGACTTCTGGTCTTTAGTGATCAAGGCTGGGACGCACAGAGACATCAGCAAGGGCCAACTCTACGCAACCATGAGCGACTTCATGTTTGCTGGCACCGAGACAACGGCCACCATTCTTAGCGGTATCACATACTATCTGTGCAAGAACCCAGAGTCGATGGCTACCCTCGTTGCAGAAATTCGCCAGTTCAAAAACCCCGAGGACTTGAACCTCAACAATCTGCAGGCGCTGCCCTTCTTGCAGGCTTGTATCAACGAAGCCTTCCGCTTATACCCACCAGTTCCCGTCGGGAACATGCGGCTCGCTCCTCTTGGCGGCGCCATTGTTTGTGGAAGATTTGTCCCAGAAGGAGTAAGTATACTTTGCCCTGAACGAAATGCGAAACCTCTTTTGGGCCATCCATTTTCTGGGTTCTTTTCTTTTCTTCTTCTTCCCCTTATACAAGATACCCTAGCTGATTTCCTTCAGACAACCGTGCAATATACACAATATGCAGCGTATCACACCGAGCACAACTTTAAAAACCCAGAATTGTTTGTCCCAAAACGCTGGCTGCCAACGCCCCCGGAAGAATATACTTCGGATAAGACAGAAGTAGTGAACCCCTTTGGGGTCGGCCCGCGCGCTTGTATAGGCAGAAAGTAAGTACCTCTTGGACATAGCTCTCAATGTGAAGCTGAAGACTGACCAAAATGCCTAGCTTGGCACTCCACGAATTTCGAGTGCTTCTGGCATATGTGCTCTGGTACTTTGACGTGAGCCTCGCGGACCCAAATTTCCACTGGCTAGCCCAAGATGTCCATGAGTTATGGGTGAAGAATCCTCTGCTAGTGCGACTGTCTCCGGCCCGTAGATGAGGATAGTAAAGGGAGTGGGCGGCATTTCGTCACTGTGAGCATAAAATAGATTGTCACATATATGCAAGCGGACGGAGTATTTCTAGTTTTCAAGATTGAGATACTTCGAGATAGCAAGAAACCTGATGATAGTCGCCCAGAACAATGCTCCTTCTGCTATGAAGCAGTGACTGCGACTAAGCCAGACCACTGCAATGCTCTTCAGCTAGGCTGAACCACGTGTCTTGCACTGGGGGTCTTCCTGTCTCCGTTTGGTATGTATCAGCCTTATGCCCGACTAAATGCGGGGTAATGCACCGGCTGGTCGGGTTTTGGACGGGGTGACCGGTAACCCGGGCGCGATAAGACCGTCCCCAGAAAAAATATGCCCGGTGGCGATGGTGGGACGATTCGGCATTGTCTTTGTGGATACGAGTTGAAGCACTTTGTGATGGGGTAATAATATGGTAAGCAAAGCAAGGTAGTTAGTGTGGGGTTGAGCGCGACCCAGATGTCAAGCTACAGTGCCGACAACTGTGGTCCCATAACGCCGACTCCAAGCTCAAGAACCATGTATATTACATACATCGTACGAACTCCTACGTGGCAAACTTCTCAAGCACTTTATCTAATATAGTTCTACAGCCTGGAACAACCTAGCAAAGATGACCGAGACCATCGAAATTGCGACTGAAGCCCCCAAGGGCACTGCCAATGGGGCTACCGTCCCCAAGACAGCTGCCAACAACCCCCCATTCGATACCAGAACATTCCACTGGACGGATGCAAAGTCGAAGAAGCCAACACGGCCTGAAGACCCATACGAATATCTCTCGGGGTTCGGCAACGAATTTGAATCTGAGGTTATTCCTGGCGCTCTGCCAGTCGGCCAGAATGCTCCACAGCTCTGCGCATACGGGCTCTATGCCGAGCAGATCACAGGTTCGTCCTTCGCTGCGAGTCGAGCGAATATGATGAGGAGCTTTTTGTATCGCCGGCGTCCAGCTGCTGTCCATACTTCGCTTGAGCAGATCGAGGGCAACTCTACCACTACAGCCTCTTTTCTGCCCACGGATAGCTCGCTCCATCTCGCCCCATCACAGCTGTCGTGGCGGGCCTTTACAATTCCCGGAAAGAACAACCCTGATGTGGACTTTATCCAGGGCATTCACACACTCGGTGGTAGTGGTCATCCTAATCTCCGAGAGGGTATTGCCTATCATATCTACGCATTCAACAGCGGTATGCCCAACAAGGCGTTTGCCAATATTGATGGTGATCTCTTGATTTGTGCCCAGGAAGGCCACCTGGATATTACGACCGAGTTTGGTCATATCTATCTGCAGCCTTCTGAGCTTTGTGTCATTCAGCGCGGGCTTCGATTCAAGGTGGACATTGTGGGGGAGCACTCGCCCGAGGGTGCTCGCGGATACATCATCGAGACCTGGGGTACCAAGTGGGAGCTTCCAGAGCTTGGGCCGCTCGGTGGCTACGGCTTGGCCAATTCTCGCGACTTCCTCTATCCCACGGCCGCCGTTGACACGACATCGACGGGGTCCTGGACCGTCGTGACGAAACAACTCGACAAGTATTATGCCAGCTACCAAGACCATTCCCCCTTCGACGTCGTTGCGTGGCACGGGAACTATACACCCTACAAGTACGATATGAGCAAGTTTGCGTATCAAAACCCGGCGGCTATTGACCACACGGATCCATCCATCAACACCGTTCTAACTGCCAAATCGCGAGATGCTGAGGCCCCGTTGTGCGACTTCCTCGTATTCGGGCCACGCTGGGATGTGGCTCAGAACACTTTCCGGCCACCGTACTTCCACAGGAACTGCGCTTCCGAATTCCTAGCCAGGATCTACGGGCCCACTGGTGGAGGGCGTTCCGAAGTCTTCGTTCCAGGCGGTGCTAGCTACGAGGCTGGCCATACTCCGCACGGAACTGCAGACTCGCGGACCATGGCTGCCATGCACGCCGATTTGAAACCAATGCGTGTTGGAGAGAACCAAATGACCATCATGCTCGAGAGCTGTCGGAGCCTGCTGTTCACTGACTGGGCGATGACCGGCTCTAGAGTCTTGGCTGCCGAGGATATCCCTCTTTCGGCATGGGATTTGGCACCGGTTAGTTTATTCCCTGATCCCCATTACCCTCCCCTCTAGTTAAAACATAGCCGTGGTACTGACCAAGCTGTGAGCAGGACCGATTTGTCGATGATAAAGAGGCCCAGCGGCTTCTACAGGAATTAGCAAAGCAGCCAAAAGGCCTTTAAGATTTCAAAAGCCTTGTCGTTACGCCTAGTGGTAAGAAGATATGGCAATGAGGACTCGGTAGTCAGGTTCTGTGTTTTATTTGTTTTGATACGAAAATATTAAACAAAAAATACGATGCGCAATTAGGCCGCCCGGATGTATAGTACTCAGTCATTCGTTCCGTAACTTTTCTTATTATCTTTGTACGCTTATAGATCTATGCCCCTTACATGAAGCCGTAACGGCGGGCCGGATGAGGGAAGGGGATACATCCTCATATTGTGCTTTAGGCCTACCTTATGGCCAAAATGTAAATCATTGGCTATTTGCTTATAATCTCCACGTATTAGAAGCCTGTCGTGCCCTTGGAGCGAAACATCTGCCATTATCCTACCAGGTCACGTATTAGAGCGAGGTTTGATACACTTGGGGTGTAATTAACAGCGAAAACCAATTCATACATGCCTAACCTTCTAGAGGGGATTCTCTAGCAGCACGTTTGACATCATATTCCCACGACCATTCGCTGCTCACACCAGCCTTGGGCGGAGCGCCACTTCTACCTTGCCACTTCTTCGCGTCACCCCGGGCGCCCGTCATGATAGCCTCGCATCTCGGGAGTCTCAGTTCCTGGTATGCCTTTAGGGCTTGCGGGATCTGAGATATAGATTCAGTTCGTGCAAGAAACTCTGCAACTGCCACTCCGTCCTCCATTCCCATCCCCGCACCTTGGGCGGCGGAAGGGAGCACCGCATGGCAAGCATCTCCCATCAGCGCTATTTTGCCACCAGGAAACACCCATGAGTCCATGGGCTCCATGTCGCAGAGCCGCCACTCCAAGGTGCTGTCGTCAGGAAGCTCTTTCAACACTTTTACGAGACATGGATCCCAGTCTTTGTATTGCTCAAGAACTTCGGTGACGTCGGCCTTGACCACATATTTAGAGCCTATGGTCTTCTGCGCAGGGCCGGTCAACACCACATTATACACAGTTCCCTGACGGAGAAGATAAGCCACGACATGTTTGCCTTGACCAATCCTAGATAGACCCATCAGAATTTCGAATGTCAGACCAAGGAGAAGAGAGAGTTTACCAGACAAAGTTTGTCTGAGTTTTCCAGTCGAGGAATTCCTTGAGTTCAGGCACTCGGTGTAGTTTTTCGATAGGAATGAGAGCCCTATAAGCGGCATTTCCGCTGGGACGAGGTTCGTCAGGTCGACCGAGGAGGCTCTCTCTTGCAAATGATCTGTAGCCTAGATCATCTCTGCGTTAACCTCGCGTGTCTGACTTGTTGAGGAAATCTCGGACCCAACGTACCATCGGCGGCCAAGATAACGTCAGCCTCAAATACTGTCCCGTCGTTTGCGATGGCCTTCGGCGCCACTGCGTCGTACTCTCTGACGGAATATCCCATTTTAATCACAACGCCAACGTCTTTCGCCTGTTGCAGGAGGACGTCATGGAGATCGGCACGGTGCATTTACACCAATGGGTAGCCGATTTCCCTTTCCAGGTCGCTGTAGTCCCTCACACTGAGGGTTTTGGAGCCGTCCTGATTCCTAAAGATGTTTCTCCTCAGATGGACAGCACATTTTTCAAGGGCATCTTGGAGATCCACTTCACACAGAATGCGCGTGGCGTTTCCTCCTAGGAAAACTCCTGCACCAACCTTGATGTGCGTGTTATTTACAGAGCCTTCCACCGCAGAAGCAGCATGGTGGTAATCAGCATTGAACATACATGTGAGAACTCGATCGAAGCTTCCAAGGCGGTGACGGAGAATCCCTTCTGCCTGTAGGCGATTGCCGCCGTCAAGCCGGTGATGCCGGCTCCTACGATGAGAACATGGAGTGGTGCTGCTGTGCTAGGCATTTTGGTGATATCTGCCGCGAAATTGGATGAGTGTTCAGACGCGGGGGGAGAGAACGGAGGACGAGATGATATGCTGATATCACAAAGCTGCGCGACCTGGAGAAAACACCGGTCATCGTGGGGTCGGCTGCAGGTGATCAAGAAAATTCCGACTGTGGACGGTTGCGCTCGCTGGCCGCGGGGTAAACTAATGCAGCATACCCCAGAGTGCGGAGCTGTGAGGCCGCAGCTGATCCTGTCACGAGCCCAGATTGTCTGAAGTGTCTGATTGGGTGTATGTTTGTTCTTGATTGCGTCAGATCCCCGCTTTGAGTTCCTGTACATCCTTTATGCTGAAGTAGCTAGAAGGACATTGCTATAACAACCACACGCCATGTACACGCCCAGCTACCCAAATACACATCGTGACAGATCCCAGGATTCCAAAGGAGCACTTTGTTAGATTGGCGCCTGTGTGCGGATAGAAGGGAGTTTGCCGTTCATTATAACAATACATGTGGCTTATGGCGGTGAAGGTCTTAAGAATGGACGGACGCCCCCGTATGATGATGACAAAGAAAAAAGAGAAGATCATGAAGACTTCAATCAATAAGATCATCAATTTCTGGTCTACTATCTACTGAATTCACCCCTACTCCATCACGTATCCAACACACTTCGCATCTCCACCCCATGGGGCTGGCTGAAGACGGGCTCCAGCACGGCATTAGATGTGGCGTCAGGATTATCGGCATTACCGCAACGGCATTATCGGGTTTACCGTTTGACGGGTACCTGGCTGAAGCCCGAGCCCGAGGCGCTTTCTCTGGCGTAGGGTAGTAAAGGTCTAGGGTTGTGGTACGTACCGTCTAGTCCCAATACAGAGTAAACTCACCCGAGACGGCCTCATCTTTAACGAGGAGGTGGCCCCAATTTCGTTGCAGCTCCCAAGGAGAAAACGCTACTAGAGGGTAAAAGTGTGGTGCAGCTAGCTTGTGGATTTGCCGAGACTCTATGGCCTTGTAGGTGCAATTCGTAATTACCGTAGGTCCAGGTTTGTCGGTACTCCATGTGGTTGTATTGGTTGGAATGCAGAAGTGTCAAATGGAAAGACGAAGACGCATATTCTGTCCTCCAGCGTGGCTCTAACGTGTTTCTATTCGGCACTGATCTGTAGCTGGGACACACTTAATCACTGTCCATCCGAAACGATGCGTTCTCCTTTGATCGCAGTAGCTAGATCTGATACTTTGTCCTGCAAACTCTCGACTAGTCTCAGCGCCTCCCATGACGCTTTGCTGGACTCTGACATTTCTGTTGCTTTTCCACCATTTCCGTAATGCATGATGATACCGGAACCTTGATGATAGGGCGTCCACGGATCCCCTCCATTCACAAACGAAATCCAGTGCCGAGCCATGATGCGGGAAAGATTCTGCTGCTCAGACGAAAGATGTGATTGGTATGTCAGGAAAGGGAAGAGCAGGTCCACCCCGTGATGAGCCTTCCCCGCGTTTTGACCTGGGAACGGGTTGGCCTCGGTCAGGTGGTAGTAAAAGACGTCGTTTGAGAACGAATGTGCCACTGCTTCTATCGGCTGCGACCATTCCGCGTCCGTTATCAATCGTATGAGATACGGGAACAGCTCCTCGGCAGAGGTGTTCACCTTTATTCCGTACACATCGAACAGCTCACGTGCGTTGGCTTCGCCCAAGATTTCTGTCGCCAAAGCGAGCAATCGTTCGCCGGTCCAACCCATCGACTGGATCTTGAAGGCAAAAAATGAGTCCCTCTTCAGCGCAGTCGCCTATGAGCAGGCGCTTGAGATGAGGATCGTAGGCTTGCTCCGGCAAGGTTGCACATCTGGGTAGGTCCCGCAGGTAGTAGCCATCAACCGTAGCTTGCCACGACGGCACGGGGGATCCAAGAGCTTGATAGCTTCCCATCAAGTCCTCGACTGAGACTTCTCGAAGCTGGCGGATCCTCTCTTCTACAAGACTTGGTTTGTCAAATTTCAAGTGCGAGATCACCCTGGCATATACATCATTTTGGTGTGCCATCCCTCGGACTGTGAGGGGTGCAACGCCGGATTGCAAGACGGCCTGATGGAACGGCTTCTGCAGCTTGAAGAGTTCCGAGCATGCATTCAAATGGGTGTCAACTAGTAACAGGGAAGAAAATATTCGTTAGTTCATGTAAATGCCTGGAGTGGTTGCTCTTTGGAGGAGGGGAGGCCAACTGGAACCTGCGCTTTCTCCCATTGCGGTAATTCTGGTGGGATCGCCGCCGAAAGCGGCGATGTTCTTCTTCACCCACTCGAAGGCAAGAAGTTGGTCTCTAAGGCCATAATTACCCACGCCCTTGTCGCCTGCGGCTTCATTGTCCCTTCTGATATCGTCCGAGGCCAGGAAGCCCAAGACACCGAGACGATAGCTACGAGTGCAGGGGTTAGCGCAACGTTTAGTATTGAGAGGTCCATGCAATGGGCACTCACTTGATTGTCACCATGACGGTTGGCATCCCGATTTCTACTGAATTCTCCACCAACGCAGCCATGTCTACATTGTCGATATTAGACCCGCAACGACAGTCTCTTGGGGACGCCCGGCTGCTTACCGTATCCAGGCTCAGCGCCTGAGCCGGCAACATTACCACCACTAACACATGTCGGTTAACTTGAGGACGGCGATGGTTACCTTTTGCTATTTGGGCCTAAAGGTTTACCGCCGCAGGCAATAATGGCCTAAGTTTTATACAGCCGATATCTGTAAACGCTTCATAAGCATTCTGACCACCCCTTGCCAAAAGATGTAGCTGTAACTGGAGTCAGATAATATGCCAGGAGTAATTTTGACAGCTTGGGCTCATAAGGTACATTTTCACATACTCTCAGGGGTTAAACTACTGTGCTTGCAGACGGCGGTTACACAAAAAAGTACCGCGTCAAGCGTGCCAGGACGCGAGAATGGCGAGTCCAGGCCGAACACTGCTTTTACTTGTCGTCGCATGGGGATCGCTGTTCCTACCCCTACTCAGCAGCCGCCACCCGCTCACGTCCGCGCCTGGATCGGCGATAGCCACTCGATATGTCCGTCCATCTCGGCCATAACGCCCCGCGATCAGCGGCATAAGATTACTCGAGCATGAGGAGTAGCTGTAATTCGCCGAGTGAATTCTAGCTCATCGTGTGCTGCTAACCTCAAGTAGGGTTACACTAGGCTTAGCGAACGTGTAGGAATCGTGTCCTGCATCTAGACCTCGCTGGCTCAAGCGGTGGGTAGCCCTACCTAACCGCAAGCGGATTCTGTTGGAAGCATTTTCGCCAACGAAGTCTTAGTCGCCCGAGTTAAATTTAGCCGTCCGCCCAACCGCCCAATCTCGGGCCGTTAAACCGGCACATCGAGAGGGTTCCTGCATTTCAGCTTGCAGAATTGAGGCATATCCCCGGCATCCTGCAATATCAATCTCCACTTCCGCATTGGCCCTCCTTCCTCAAATAGATTCTCCGACTTTGCCAGCTTCGTTTAACGCGCCAATAAACAATGAATCGGCACAAGTGTCATGCCGTCTTATTATATCTGAAGGCTAGAATGAGCAATTTCACTCCAAAAGCGGAAGGCTTCGTGGCCAGAGAACAAGAAGCTGAACAGCAGACCAAGCCAAATTTGAAGGGATTGCAGGAAAGACTTTACCCTTCTCTTGTCAGCTCCGGCCTAAAAGTGACCCGCCTAAAACATAAAAGACTGAGCTCGTTCCACGAGAAACTTGACTCGATATCCATCAGCATTCTGACCATTCATCTCCTCTACAACGCAAATCACCATGAAGTTCTCTCTCTTTGCAGTCTATGCTCTTGTAGCATCCCTGACTAGTGCCTATAAGATTACCGGCGACAACGTCAACTGCCGAAGTGGTCCTGGCACTAGCTACTCCGTGAAGAGGTCCTTCAAGAAGGGGACTGATGTCACCCTCTCTTGCCAAACCACTGGAGAAAAGGTTCTGGGTACCAATATCTGGGACAAAACCTCTTATGGCTGCTATGTCTCGGACTACTATGTCAAGACAGGCTCCAGCGGATTCGTCGTGAAGAAGTGCGGCACTTGCGGTGCGCCGAAATCGAACGCCGCTACTGTGAATCTCATCTCGGATTTTGAGGGATTCAGGGCCAACATCTGTAAGTGTCTCTTCTTCGTCGCGGAAGCTACTGGGATACAAGTTATGCTAACCCACCGGTACTAGACAAGGATGCTGCTGGCTATCCTACTGTCGGATATGGACACCTCTGCAGCAACTCCAAGTGCACAGATGTCAAGTACTCTATCCCGCTGTCCAAGGCCAATGGCAAGAAGCTCCTGGCAACTGACATGGCAGTAAGTATTGTTCTCCACGATTTTCCATTCATGTACTCATTGACGCCTCCTCTCTCATAGAAATTCGAGAAGTGCATCACGGCTATGGTCAGCAGTTCGGTGACGCTCAACTTGAACCAGTACGGCGCCTTGGTCAGCTGGGCTTTCAACATGGGTTGCGGAGCCACCAAGACATCTACCTTGATCAAGCGTCTTAACAGGGGCGAGAACGTGAACAAGGTCTTGTCTGCAGAGCTCCCGAAGTGGGTGTACGCGGGTGGCAAGAAGCTCCCTGGTCTTGTTCGCCGCCGCAATGCTGAGATTGCTCTGGCAAAGAAGAAGACCACTGCCAAGGCTCTTCCGAACAAATGTTGAATAATTTGACAGGAGTGGTATCTGCAACAACCTTATGGAGTCAAGCATTTGGGGAGGAGGTTCTGTACTTTGGACTTTCCGAATCCTAGTCTGGCAATGGCATAATTCTCTAT